GCGCGCAGAGGCATGGTCGGAGGCCAGTTCTGCAAAGTGGTGAGGCGCATGGTCTTCCAAACTCTGAAATCTGCTCCATCAACCTTGCCCTCCATGTCCATCAGAAAGTTGACCATCTGAATGTCCAAGCTCCGCAGTGCTTCAAACAGGAACTGGCCGGCGTTCAGGAAGCACATGTCGAAGGCACCCAAATGAGTGATGCCAACCGCAAAGACTGTGGGTGGAGCAGGTCGTGCCGGGGTTCCGGCCTGAATGGAGAGCTCAGTCGATTGAGAAATGCTCCCAAAGGAAGTTGGTTTCCGTCCATCAAGATGCCGCCAGCTTCATTCCATGCCAAACAGATTCTGTGTGCCGCCAGCAGTTGAGCCGCCGTACAAGCCATAGGGCAGTGGATGGCCAAATCATGCCCGTCAGGGTCACGCAGATGCAGCGTTTGTGGGACCTGATCATTTATATGAAAAAGCTGTTGGACTTGGCGAAGGAGATCATTCTGGTAGGATCTCAACCATTCCAAAGGAGAAGGAACTGGGCGAAGGTCGTTGGCCTGTGCAAAGCTGTTGCAAAGGTGAACATACATCCAAACCATTTACAAAGGAGAGGCAATGAGGCCTAACAAAGCCAGATGTTCACGAGGTTGACATGGATACTCCACGGAGTACGGATGCAGATATCTGGGATTGTGATGCACCCCTGACTGCACAAAACATCCTCTAAGCCCTTTCTGCAACAGGGAATGCTGGCTAAACCCTGATTGACGGCATTCACATGGACACTTCATGAGGGCATTCCCGTAGGAATGGAGAAAGGTGTTTGCAACATCAGAAAACTCCAGCACTCTTTTGTCCCTTCCAAACGAAGGATTCAGATATGCTTGCAGTTTCAAAGTCAAACAATTGCAAATCAGTTTCCTCAGAGTCAGTCCTTTGGCCCCAACACTTGAAGAGGTCTCCAACCACCTGATGATAAGGACTGGAGTCTGGCCACTGGTGAAGTCCATAAGTGCGCCAGGCATGAGGCATCAGAAGAGCCTGGCCCACCACCGAAGCCGTCGGCAAGGCCATTGGGCATGAAGAGCCAGTTTCACGGTGAGGACAGTGCAACCCAAACAGGCTGCAAGAGCGTTGATAACCTCCATCACTTCAACGTTATCACCAACTGCTGATACGCACTCAAGCATGGCAGACTGGGGATTCAACATAAAATAATGCGGAAACCTTTCCAAAACGTTTGGAACCTATAGTATCCTGACTGCCCAATTGCATTCCCTGACTAGAGAGTGGCTGACAAGGAATCCAAAAGTGATGGTACCCGGAGAACCACCAAATTCCTGGTGAATGATCTTGGCACTGTGTGCCTGATTGATATCCAACTTCAAAACTTTGCCATGGGAATTTGCCATCAAATGACAACAGGCCAATTCATTTGAGTCAATGGAAAGGCTAGGCATGCCACCAAGGAAGGAAGCACCAATACCCATCCCTCCCATGCCCGCACAAAGCTCAAGGATCAGAGGCGATAAGTCTTGCTCAGAGACATTGATGGAACACAACCATGAAGCCTCTCCAGCTTGCAGGTACAAGAAATCGTCCATGCCATGGTTCAGGAAGCCATAGATGGACACCGTGCACAAAGGAATGATCTTGTTGATGACCATCACGGGAGAGCTGCATGGAATGCGATGCCGTATGGACGATCCATCAACGTGAGAAGTGATGAGCAGCTTCCCCTCAAAACAGCTAGCATTCAAAGATGCGCCAAAGATCTGAGAAACCATTGCAAACCGACAAGATGACCCGAGCTTTAGTTGAACCGAGTTTACCCCTGGGAGGCCTCGGGCCGAAACTTATATACTACCTATAAAAAGAAAACGGTTACAAATAGATGGACACTACCCGTGTACTACATACATATGTGCTACATACATACTACCACATAGCACCCATGTACCACTTATTTGGATGCACCAGCTATTGTATAATATTATATATTCCCCATGCAGCAGATGCCAACCCCCTTCCCACCCGAACCCACACCACAGAGGGAGGGGGATACCATGAATACAACGCGTACACAACCACATCCCACCCCAACCCACACCCACAGGGGGTTGAGGGGATAAAAATGACCGTGGGCGGGGTGGGTGTGGGAGGGGGGACCCAGAACCTGGAACATATACATCTACTCTCCCGAAAACTAACGTTGTACAAAAAACAAATATTAAAAAATCGGGTTCCCTGTTAGCGCGCTCATGTTGAAATTCATGAGCGGGACAAGTGCCAGGTAGGTGCCATGTTGGTGTTGGTATGTGCTGATGAATTTTGATATTTTCGGGCACTTTTTAGCTAGTTGTCATATGAACATAGAACCCCGCAAGCTGCCACTTAGTCTTCAACCAACAGTTCCATGTTAGCCGCGGGCGTGGCCCTCCCGTTGTTAGCTTTCCCGGTGTCGCCAGGTCCTTGCCCGGCCTACCCCGTTCTCTTCACCCCGTTGCGCTAAA